GCTGAGTTTGGGGGTGCGGAGACTGTGGGTGCTGAGCCTGGGGGTGCTGCGACTGGGGGTGCTGAGCCTAGAGGAGCTGAGGCTGGGGGTTCTGAGACTGACCGTATTGCACCTGTTGTCGCTCCCTCTTCACAGCAGCTGCATGAGTGGTACTCCCAGCGTTACAGCCTCCGTCGTGGGGCTACTGGAGCGGGGGGGTCTGCTGGAGTTTGGGCTGGTGGCCCTGCGGGTGCAGTGTCGCAGCCGGAGCCTCCCTCCCCTCAGCGGCTACGTGAGTGGTACGCTCAACGCTGCAGCCTCCGGAGCGGAGCTCGTGGTGGTGAGGTACCGCCTGCTGAAGGTGCTGCTAGAGGTGCTGGAGCTGCTGGAGGTGCTGCTGGTGCTGCTGGAGGTCCTGGAGCTGCTGGAGGTGCTGCTGGTGTTGCTGGAGGTACTGGAGCTACTGGAGGTGCTGCTGGTGCTGCTGGAGGTACTGGAGCTGCTGGAGGTGCTGCTGGTGCTGCTGGAGGTTCTGGAGCTGCTGGAGGTGCTGCTGGTGCTGCTGGAGGTTCTGGAGCTGCTGGAGGTGCTGCTGGTGCTGCTGGAGGTTCTGGAGCTGCTGGAGGTTCTGCTGGTGCTGGTTCGGCTGGAGGTTCTGGTGCTGTCTCTGCTACTTCTAGGTGCACTTCACGGCCGCGGCCGTACTTCGTTCCGCACCTTCAGAAGGTTCTTGGTCAGCCGCCTCCTCCTAGTCCTCCTCCCTCCTTAGAGTGTCGTCCGCCTGTCCAGTCACAGTCACAGCTACCGCCTGCCACGCCACTTCCTGGTCCTTCTCCCTACACTGGTCCGACAGGCGGTCTTACAGAGCGTCGTGAGCCTGAGTCTCGTCCTGTGTCGCCTGTGTCTCGTCCTGTGTCACCTGTTCGTGCTGCTCGCACTGGTCGCCGTGTTCCGCGTGAGCGTCCTCCACCTGTCCCTGGCACACACTATATGACTCTGCGTCCTTCCACTGCTCCACAGCGTTTCCCTCTACCGTCTCCTCCTGCGTCCTCCCTTCCTGTTCTTGCTGACCCGGAGTCTGACTCTCTTCGTGCTGCCAGTCCAACTGTCACGCGTCTCCTGGCCACTGCTGTCACTGACCCTTTCTTTGAGCATGCTGCTACGTCTGCCCTAGTTGCTGAGCTTGTCGACTTTGCTGCTCGCTGTCGTCTAGACTACGCCGCGAGTCTTGTTGCTGAGTCTGAGCCTGTCTGTCCTCCGTCCGTCGGGGGTGAGTGTGCTCTAGGCACGGACGTCCTTGAGGACAGACAGGAGGACCTTGAGTGTCTTGCAGCCGCTGCGCCTCATCTCGTGTCCATGCTGCTTGCCCCTGAGGGAGACCCGGATGCTCCAGACATCCCGACCCCGCGCTCTTACGCTGAGGCGATCGCGGGTGAGTACTCCTCTCAGTGGCAGACAGCCATGGACGCAGAGATGGCATCCTGGAAGTCCACTGGCACTTACGTCGATGAGGTTCCCCCTCCTGAGGCGAACATCGTGAGTGGCATGTGGATTTTCAGGATGAAGCGGCCGCCAGGTTCTCCGCCTGTCTTCAAGGCTCGTTACGTTGCTCGAGGCTTCAGTCAGCGAGAGGGAGTAGACTTCTTTCAGACCTTCTCCCCCACTCCGAAGATGACAACTCTTCGGGTGCTACTGCACGTTGCTGCTCGGCGTGACTATGAGCTTCACTCTCTTGACTTCAGCACAGCTTTCTTGCAGGGCAGCCTGCACGAGGAGATCTGGCTACGCCGCCCTCCTGGCTTCACTGGGTCGTTTCCTCCTGGTACCCAGTGGAGCCTCCGGCGGCCGGTCTACGGTCTCCGCCAGGCGCCACGTGAGTGGCACGACACACTGAGGACTACTCTTACGGCACTTGGGTTCGCGCCTTCTACTGCTGACCCGTCGCTGTTTCTGCGCACCGACACTTCGCTGCCGCCGTTCTACATCCTCGTGTACGTCGACGACTTGGTCTTTGCCACTGCTGACACTGAGGCTCTCGCCCACGTGAAGTCGGAGCTGCAGAAGAGACACACGTGCACAGACCTGGGTGAACTGCGCAGCTACCTTGGCTTGCAGATCACCCGGGACAGAGCACGCCGCACCATCACAGTGACTCAGTCACACATGGTGCAGCAGGTCCTTCAGCGCTTCGGCTTCACCTGGTCCTCAGCACAGGCCACTCCTCTGGCTACAGGTCACTCGCTCTCAGCTCTGCCTTCGAATGAGTCCGTAGAGCCGAGTGGTCCTTACCCAGAGCTAGTTGGCTGCCTCATGTACCTGATGACTTGCACTCGTCCTGACCTAGCGTACCCTCTTGGCCTTCTGGCCCGCTACGTGGCTCCTGGTAGGCACCGAAAGGTGCACTGGGATGCTGCAAAGAGGGTATTGCGCTACTTGTGCAGTACATCGGGCATGGGGCTCGTGCTTGGAGGAGGGAGCTCAGTTCTTCTCACTGGGCACTCAGACGCTTCTTGGGTTGACGACCAGGCTACTCAGCGGTCGTCACAGGGTTACACCTTCAGCCTTGGCTCTGGCTCGGTTTCGTGGCGTTCTACGCGTTCGTCTTCAGTTCTCAGCTCCAGTTGTGAGGCTGAGATCTACGCCACGGCCATGGCTGCACAGGAGTTACGCTGGCTCACCTACCTGCTGACCGACCTGGGAGAGCGGCCTAGTTCTCCTCCAGTGCTGTACGTCGACAACAAGGCTGCCATTGCCTTTTGTGAGGAGCACAGACTGGAGCACAGAACGAAGCACATCGCTCTACGTTACTTTCTGGCTCGAGAGTTGCAGCAGCGTGGTCAGCTTTGTCTGCGTTACGTGGCCACTCAGGCCAACACTGCTGATATATTCACCAAGGCGCTTCAGTCTGGTGATCATCAGCGTTTCTGCACCTTGCTAGGGCTTGTGCCCACTTTTCCTCACTTGTTGTAGACTCTGCCTGTACTGTGATCTATATATATATACCTGCATGCTTGCTTTGCTAGGTATAGATCACTGTGATGCTTGTGGTACATATATGCTTCTTGCTTGTGCTCAGAGTGTGTGGTGACGTTGTGATCCACCCTGAGCTTGCTTTGTCTTTCTTGACTGGTCTTGTGACCTCTTGTTCTCCCCCACTTAGCCTATGGGGGTGTGTCAAACATTGTATATGTTTCTGTTTTGTAGGCTACAGTGGGTTAGCCTTTAGGGTGTACATTTCTCTAGGGTTTCATACTTGTACTCCCAAATGTTTCTAGTTGATCACTTCTTGTTTCTGACACTCTTTCGAATTGCATGTTTCATTTTTTAAGTAAGGAACCATAAACACCTTGTCGCAAGGAGTTTATGGTTGATGCTCTCAAATTCATTTGCCATCTGAAAGGGGTATACATTTGTTTGCCCCGGCTGCACGATAGAGTGAAGTACGATCCAATTTGCGAAAAGAGCGCCAGAATATCAGTTATGTTTGAAAAGTTGTTTCCACAGCACTTACGCTTTCTCAGTTATCCCGAAAATCGGAAAGTGTTCCAGGATTTCAAAAAGTGTGTCAGAATTTCGCAAAACCGTGTCAGGATTTCCGAGAGTGTGTCATAATTTTCTTCTTCAATATTTGTCAATTTAGTCTGGCGCGAGCGGGTAAAACCAGAATCGGGGTCATTTTGGGCGAGGGTTTCTTCTAGTTACCATTCGCGTGATTGGCTGCTAGTGTATAGTTACCAAACGCGTTAAGCGAGTTACCAAACGCGTGAAAACCACATGTAATTGTTACCGTACACGTTATAGTGGCCCATATAAGTTACCATTGACATATTTTCCCATGCTGTTATCCTATCCCGTTGAATTGGTTGGAGTGTTATGCCAAGCCAGTGTAGCGCAGTTGCATTGAATCATAAGAGGTTGCTGACGCTTACGCTTCGTACATGGCGAAACCATGCATGACAAACAATCCAAGTGAATCTGCCAGCATTTGAACCACTCATGCTTATTCTGTAGAACACGCCAGAATTGATGTGCACCATGTAAAAATCAGATTTGCTCAACCAACTGAAGTGGCCGTTTTTCTGTTTGCTTACCACATGCACAAGTTTCGCTCGACGAACTCCAGTGGCCTCATCTGCATCTTGCACCTGAAGGGTATGCCTTTAGCCATCATAAGGTATGGTACCGTATTTGTGAAGCACTACAAAAACTGCACGGCAATAAATTGGCCATGCAACTGACCCACTGGCCAGCGAGGGACCCACCGGCCCTCCCCCCTCCCTGGGGAGCTCGCTGGCCCGCACAGGACCCACCGGCCCTAACCCCCCCCTGGGGAGCCCGTTGGCCCACACAGGACTCACCGGCCCTTCCCCCCACCCTGGGGAGCTCGCTGGCCCGCACTGGACCCACCGGCCCTCCCACCACCCCCCCCTGGGGAGCTCGCTGGCCCGCACTGGACCCACCGGCCCTTCCCCCCAACCTGGGGAGCTCGCTGGCCCGCACTGGACCCACCGGCTCTCCCCTCCCCCCCCCCCCCCCCCCTTGGGAGCTCGCTGGCCCGCACTGGACCCACCGGCTTCCACCCCCCCCCCCCCCCCCCCTTGGGGAGCTCGCTGGCCCGCACAGGACCCACCGGCTTCCCCCTCCTCCCTTTGTGGAGCTCGCTGGCCCACACTGGACCCACCGGCACTCCCCCCCCCCCTGGGGAGCTCGCTGGCCCGCACTGGACCCACCGGCTCTCCCCCCTCCCCCCCCCTGGGGAGCTCGCTGGCCCGCACTGGACCCACCGGCTCTCCCCCCCCCTCTGGGAAGCTCGCTGGCCTACACAGGACCCACCGGCCCTCCCCCTCCCCCCCTTGGGGAGCTCGTTGGCCCGCACTAGACCCACCGGCACTCCCCCCCCCCCTGGGGAGCTCGCTGGCCGGCACAGGACCCACCGGCCCTCCCCGCCCCCCTGGGGAGCTCGATGGCCCGCAATGGACCCACCAGCCCTCCCCCCCACCCCCCCCCCCCCCCTTGGGGAGCTCGATGGCCCGCACTGGACCCACCACCCCCCCCCCCCCCCTTGGGGAGCTCGCTGGCCTGCACTGGACCCACCGGCCCTCCCCCCTCCCCCTGGGGAGCTCGCTGGCCCGCACTAGACCCACCGGACCTACCCCCCTCCCCCTCTGGGGAGCTCGCTGACCTGCACTGGACCCACCGGCCCTCTGCCCCCCCCTCTTGGGGAGCTCGCTGGCCCGCACTAGACCCACCGGCCCTCCCCCCCCCCTTGGGGAGCTCGCTGGCCCGCACTGGACCCACCGGCCCTCCCCCCCCCTTGGGGAGCTCGCTGGCCCGCACTGGACCCACCGGCCCTCCCCCCCCCCCTGGGGAGCTCGCTGGCCCGCACTGGACCCACCAGCCCTCCCCTCCCCTCCTGGGGAGCTCGTTGGCCCGCACTGGACCCACCGGCCCTCCTCACCCCTTGAGAATGGCCCTCTGGCTGGCATGTGATCCTCTTCCCTCCCCGGGAGCGCTTGGGGTTGTGCCAAATGGTTGCCATAGTCATGCTTTCCCAATGGTCACTGATAACGACCCAAAGCTAAGGTTGTCACCGATTTGCTACGACCAAAGGTTGAAAAATAACAATTATTATAATGGACGAACAAAAACAGCAAAAACAAACCAACAAGGAGGAAACATATACGTAGTTTCATATGAAACTACAAATAGCAGCAAGTACGAAATTATTTATGGGGAATAATAACCACTAAATTGCTACTGCCATGCCAGCTCATCTCTGGCGCGCCACTGGGAATATCGCCCTGTGGTGATTTTGCCTTCATGCCCATGGGTGGCGATTCTGTCAAGCGCGCCCCTAGGTTCGTCACCACAGGCACCTCTGACGATTTCGTCGCCAATTGCGTGGTGGCAATTTCAGCGCCACATGTGCCACTGTATTTCGTCGCCAATTGCCCCACGAGCGCTTCGCCATCACTCGCGCTAGTGGCGATTTCATCCCCACGCTCGCTGGTGGCGATATCCCCCTACTGCGCTAGTGAGAATTTCGCGTATCCCAAAATTTGCGCGCCTATAGTATGGCCGCGAGTGCTTGCCACAAGTCAATGTTTGAAACCTTATTGTATTGCGCTATGTCGACAGATCTTAATGCATACTATTCTCCTAAGAGAAATAAGAGACTGAAGAAAAAGTCGGGAACGCCATGTAGTTGGATGAGAATAAAGTAGGCCTTTGAAATTTCAAATGAAGACATGGGTGAAATCCAAATGGCCTCTACCCCCTGTTATATAGTTAGCGAAGAGCGTTTAGCACTTCGTAGTTGACATTGCTACATAACAAGCAGCTTCGCTTTCAAGATATGTTTTTTTTTTAGTGTTACACAGTCTTATGATAGTGATATTTTTTTTTCAAGTTGTATTTGAATGCAATTATCATTAGGATGTGTGCTCCGTTTTTTACAATTTCATAGTAATGCATGAAGACAAATCTCCAGTAATATGGGCACGTCATTATGAAATCTGTTTGTTTTTTTCCTATTGGACTTAGAGCTCGTATAGGTTAGGGTCTTTGTTGTTATGTATTGACAGTGTGTGAACTTTGGTAGGGCCTTAGCTTGTGTGCTGAGTAGTGTAAGCAGTGTTTGATTGAATGAAATGAAATATATTGGCCTTACATAAGGGCTGGAGGGGGGTCTTATAATGCTTACATCAACTCGGCGGGTGTAAATCAAACATGCCTAAATAGAAGACCCAGGTCCGTACTATAGACCCATCAGACTACAACTCAGGGGGAGGGTGTATTTCAATATGCCGATTTCAGTTTATATAGGGTGCATAAGAAGTTTTCAGTTTGAAGCTGATGCTGAAACGAGTTTCTGCAAATGAGGAAGTCAGCTCGAGTCACTGCCCAATGGGAGCGGCTGGTACTGTTCAAGAAACCGACTTCGACTGTGAGGCGAAATGTTCAAGATGAGTCACCAGCTGATTGTTTTCTTTTCTCCTGCTGCGATTGGCTGTTGTTCGGATCAGTTTCTGAGCGAGCAAGCTGCTCACGCCACGATTTTCAGAGGGACGCGATTGGCAGCTTCTCAAGCGTTTTGAGCTAGCAACTGCTCGTGCTGCCACCTTCGAGGAATCCTGATTGGTTGCTGCTCGCGCAGCGTGTTCATTTCATCATTGGGCGAGCAGCAGTTCCCGCTTTGTGGGAAGTAACGTGGGCGTTACAAGCTCACGAATTGAAATTTGTGCTGGTGGCGAGACCAGCGAAGCGATCGAAATATGAGTTCGGTTACCAATGTTCTGAACAGCACTGACAGCTCAAAGCGGGCTGATGTTCACACTTCGAAAGCGAGGCACACGTGGCAAGCATCAGTTGGGTGTTGTTCGAGCTGCTGATCAAGATACTGATCAGGTTGATCGCTGCCGACATCTTTTGTCGTGCAGGATTTGAACGGACTTCAACTTAACCGTTCGCAAAGGGTGCGAAGTGAAAAGTTCAAATCCGCACCGTCGAACCCGTCGCGCGTGATTTTCAAAATGTTCCGGCGACGCACGTGCCATGTTCGGAAAGAATTCGAGGAAAAATTGATATGTGTTCGTGCTACGTGAATTGAAACATGAAACGTATACAGTATAAGAAAAAGCTTGAATAGACTAGGCTAGGTATGAATTGATTGTATTTGATTGTTCAAAACAACCTTTTTTAGCGGAAGTTTTCTCCTCCGCCTGCTGTAAGTAAGCTGCCATAGTTTATTGTCTTGACAACGCCAAGAAACCGACTATTGCTACTACCGTTTGGCTGTGGCTACAACTCTATCTCTCTACACACTCGGACCCTTGGATAGGGGCTGACCTTGGTCAGGCACCCAAGGACCCTCGGAGGTGACCCCGAGGAGAGAGTTCTAGTGCCACCTAAAGTATGTTAGTAGCTAGTTTAGTACGCTTCAAGACTAACAGTTCTTATATCTGGGTGATTACGGTAGGCCTGCCCTATATCCAGGTTGACAATAACATGGCATCTTTGTTGTACTTGTTAACGTACACATTAGGCCTCTGAATAGGATCTAGGACACTTGTGAGGATCGAAGAACCGGTTCAAAATATATTGATTAATCACTTGGGTACAACACGAGGCTGTATATAGTCTCGACACAAGGCAAGGTAACCAGGTGTTACGCGAAGGTTCTGAGGTTTTGAGCATGGCGTACGTTGCCTATATTAGCTTCTGCAACCTAACTGTCCTCTAACGGGTCAAATCCCTTCCAGCGTATTAGGAACTCGAGCGTCGTGCCGCGCCGGTGTGGATGAGTAAGAACGCGTTCCACCTCATACTATGGTTCATCCTGTACAAGAATAGGTGGTGGTGGCGGTAGCTTTCGTCCATGAACTGCTGGTTGGGGTTTTGTATGGCTTCAGTAGCTGAACATGGAACGCGTTGTGAAGCTTCGACGTAGTAGGTAAGCGCAAGCGGAATGTTACTTGTGTCGCCTTCTCCTCGACAAAACAGGGACCACAGAAGCGAGGCCGGAGCTTGGACGGAAGGTGGGATGAGTCCAAGTTGCGTGTGTCTAGAAGAACTTAATCCCCGACTGCTACCGAGTGATCTTGTCGCTGTCGATCGACATACTGCTTCTGGGAGTTCAGCATTGTAGTGGGAGGTTGCTGAGTCTTCTCCCATACCTGCAAAATGGTGGTGATGAAGTCATGTGCGGCTTGGACGTGTGCCGGTGCGGTTGGCTGCTGTGGTGTAAGTGGTTCTCGTCCGTAGCACATGAAGAATGGAGATTTTCGCATGTGACGCGTTGTTGTTATCAAACTCAAGCGTCGATAACTGTAGATCCCAGTGGCTGATGTCGTCTTTGCAAGGTCTGTGCAGTAACCGTGAAACCACCTGATTAAATCACTCCGTCTGTCCGTCTGTTTGAGGGTGGTATCCCGAATACATCGCAGGCTTTGTCCCAAGCAAACCCACTAGTTCCCTTCCGAACTTCTGGTGAACTTCGGGTCTCTGTCCGATATGAGTGTATCGGGGATGACGTGGATAGTGATGATGCGGTCGAAGAAAATGCGAACGGTTGCTTCAGTAGTAGCTGTGGTGTTGGTCGGGATGAAATGTCCCATTTTAGAGACTTTATCGATCACCGTGAGTATAGCATCATGGCCTCGTGAGGTAGCCCAGTGATGAAGTCGAGGCTAACGACTTGTTATGGCTGCTCCGGTACGGATGGAGACTGAAATAACCCTGCTTTTTTTTCATGCTACTCTTCATCCGATGGCACGTGTCGCATGAGGTGACGAACTGCTGCATGTCTGCTGCCATTCGGGGCTAGTGACAAGTCTTTGCTATTCCCAATAACGTCTTGTTACTCCCGAAATGTCCCGCGTATGCTACGTCATGAAACTCCTCTAGTAAGATCTATCGGAGCGGGGCAAAGTTCGGTACCCAAATCTTTCCTGAACCCTTCTTTACCGCAATGTCTTTCTCCCACGCTGCTAGTCTTGTTGCTGAGTCTGAGTCTGTCTGTCCTCCATCCGTCGGGGGTGAGTGTGCTCTTAGCACAGATGTCCTTGAGGACAGGCAGGAGGAGTTCCAGTGTTTTGCTGCTGCTTTACCTCATCTCGTGTCCATGCTGCTTGCCCCTGAGGGAGAACCGTATGCACCAGACATCCCGACCCCGCGCTCTTACGCAGAGGCGATAGAGGGTCCCTACTCCTCTCGGTGGCAGTCAGCCATGGACGCAGAGATGGCTTCCTGGAAGTCCACAGGAACCTACGTCGACGAGGTTCCCCCACCTGGGGCGAACATCGTCAGTGGCATGTGGATTTTCAGGGTGAAGCGACCGCCGGGTTCTTCGCCTGTCTTCAAGGCGCGTTACGTGGCTCGAGGCTTCAGTCAGCGGCAGGGAGTTGACTACTTTCAGACCTTCTCTCCCACCCCAAAGATGACCACTCTTTGGGTGCTGCTGCACATAGCCGCTCAGCGCGACTACGAGCTTCACTCTCTTGACTTCAGCATTGCTTTCCTACAGGGCAGCCTGCACGAGGAGATCTGGCTGCGCCGCCCACCTGGCTTCACTGGGTCGTTTCCTCCTGGTACCTTGTGGAGACTCCGGCGGCCAGTCTACGGTCTCCGCCAGGCGCCCCGTGAGTGGCACGACACACTGAGGACTACACTTGCGGCTCTTGGGTTTGCTCCTTCTACTGCCGACCCGTCGCTGTTTCTGCGCACCGACACTTCTTTGCCGCCGTTCTACATCCTCGTGTACGTCGACGACTTGGTCTTTGCCACAGCTGACACTGCTGGACTCGCCCACGTGAAGTCGGAGCTACAGAAGAGACACACGTGCACAGACCTGGGTGAACTGCGCAGCTATCTTGGCTTGCAGATCACCCGGGACAGAGCACGACGCACCATTACCCTGACTCAGTCACACATGGTGCAGCAGGTCCTTCAACGCTTCAACTTCACGTACTCCTCGCCTCAGGCCACTCCTCTGTCTACTCGCCACTCGCTCTCAGCTCTGCCTTCGAATGAGTCCGTAGAGCCGAGTGGCCCGTACCCAGAGCTTGTTGGCTGCCTCATGTACCTGATGACCTGCACTCGACCTGACCTGGCATACCCTCTTAGCATCTTGGCACGCTATGTTGCTCCTGGGAGACACCAACCAGAGCATATGGCTGCAGCGAAGAGGGTGTTGCGCTACTTGTGCAGTACGTCGGACATGGGGCTCGTGCTTGGAGGGCGGAGTCCAGTGGTCCTCACTGGTCACGCAGACGCGTCTTGGGTTGACGACCTGGCTACGCAGCGGTCGTCACAGGGTTACACCTTCAGCCTTGGTTCCGGCTCTGTTTCGTGGCGGTCTACCCGCTCGTCTTCTGTTCTCAGCTCCAGCTGTGAGGCTGAGATCTACGCAGGGGCCATGGCTACACAGGAGTTACGCTGGCTCACCTATCTGCTGACTGACCTAGGAGAGCCGCCTCGTTCTCCTCTTGTTCTGTACGTAGACTACAAGGCCATGCTGGCCTTGTGTCGGGAGCAC